GTATACAAATTTAATAAAAATAAATAAATAAATAAATAAATAAATAAATAAATAAATAATTAATTTTCATAAATTTCTTATTCATGGATACAGGATTAGGAAACGTCCTGGAAATGCTAACGTTATTACATATTATATTCATCTCACCTTCCCATTTCAAAAATTCTCACAAGTTTATAATAATGTCACTTAGAATTAGTATTTAATCAGGTAAAATTATGCAAATATAATGAAAATTTGCAAATGCCTTTGCATTTACTATAGATTATCTGTTCATCTCAATTTGTTTATCAGGATTTACTAAAACTGTTATTGCAGTATTAGCAGCATAATATATATGAAGGTCAAGGGCACTTGGAGAGCCAAACACTGCAACTGCCTCTGATCATCTGAGAAATGCGTCAAAGGTCAAGCATTTTCCAACATCAATGCCAGCCCATTTTCATTTTGGACAGACACTTGGTAAAAGGGAATTAAGCCAATAACGATTATATTGGCTGTGTTTTTACTTTATGCCCTTATTTTGTCTTTTGCCTAAGTATGTATACATTCTTAGAATTAATATCCCAATCAACCACAGAACCTCTTATTGAAAAGAGATCTTAATTCTGTTCATTAATTTGAACTATCATGATATCCCTTTTTTAATGCAAAGAACCTTCCAATAAGACCAGTTACTTGTTTTGGTCCCAAAAATAGCCAAAAAATAGTTTCTCTTACTTAAAAGTTATAGGACTGTAGTATATATTGTCATTAAAATTGCTATCTTATGCATACTACTCAGTAGTGGGTTTCAAATCCCGGTGCTACCAGTTCGCTATTGGTAGCGTGTGGGTGCGCTTGATTGCTTTGCGAGCGTGTGGTACTTCTGCGCATGTGCAGAAGCTTCTGCGCATATGCAGAGCATTTTTGATGATGTCTGGACAGGTGGCTGGAGCCTCCCGCTGCTGCCACTACCGTTTCGCCCAAACCAGGAGCAACCCACCACTGATACTACTCTTCTGAGAGGTTATGTCAATGATATTACTGTATCAAATGACATTTTCATGGTGAAAATCTAGGAGACAAAAATAACTGACTGGCACATAATTATTGCAAACTAAATCAGAGTTTATATTATTTTGTTTAAAGTATTGTAATTTACGGTTCCCTTTCAAGTGACTACTCTAATTTGATTAGCTGTGAATATACATTATGCTTCATTTCCTAGAAGCAGTTGCTTGGTCCATTTAAAGTCAAGAAATGAAATTCAGATATACTACAAGAAGGGGGGTGGGATTCGAAATGGAAGCATTTTTGACTAGTGGAGTTTATATTTCCCAAAATGGGGAAATTATATTTATTGTTGGTTTCCAGCAAACTTTATGTGAGCCTTCATTGCAACTGCACCTTGATTTCTTAAACCCTAAGTTATATGGTAGAAGGCTCACAATTAAACCCTAAGTTATATGGTAGAAGGCTCACAATCCAACAAGTTAAGCTGATACTGGTATGGCTCCATTATCAGCATTTTTTTCCTTCTCCTTTTGTTGGAAGAAATGTCCATCTGGGTTCAGTTCCAAGTGGGGAGAAAGACACTGGAAACATGGAGGCTATTTGGAAGGATGGTTTATTGGTGGACAGCACCACATGGTCTGAGGTCCTGGGCAAAATAAGAACATGGAAAAGAGAGGTACATATTTATACCCTCTCTCGGGCACCGCCTTAGAGTTTCCTGTTCCTGTGTAAGGGCAGGTACCCTGATTGGTTGTCAAACTTCCATGGGGCCATACAGGGGTAACTTTGTAGATTGTCTTGAGTCCCAGGCTTGGTTGAATCTTGCTGGGTGGTTATGAAGAGGGTTTTGGGCAATTCCTATTATGGCTGAGGGCTAATCCTACCTTTGTTGGATCTTGGGTGAGGGTGTTTGCTTATGAATAGACCTAACCATCTCTATCTCTTAATTGCTGACATCTGCTGTGGGCTATTGAGGAGGGTGGGGGTTATTAAGAGGGAAATGCTTCCTGCCTTAAAAACATGTTTCTCCATTTCTCATCCAGGGAAATAGAATATTCTGCCTTTTTAATATTTCCTAGAATATTTCATTCTTCTAGGAGAAGGGTGGGTGCTAACTTCCTACAATCCCCCCTTTTTGCCAAAATATGTGGGTGGAACACACGTTATTGGCAAAAGATTAAAAATTAATCAGATCAGGGAGACTTGATGGGAGCTTTTAATTTTTCTCATGCAAAGGGGAAGGCGCAGCAGAAGGGGATTCCTTCAGTGGCTCCCAAAAGGAGAGCTTTCAACCATGAAGATCTAGCAGCCAGTGAAAAAGTTCTGGAAAGAAATTTACAGAATCCAATTTTCCATGCCAATTATTTTCAGATGTCAGATATCACTTTCTGTGAGCTTCCAGTCAGGTTTCAAGCAAGCACAAGTCCCAAAATTCTTCACAGCTATGGTTTTCCTTTAAATAACTACAGGCTGCCCATTTCCAAGGATTGGTTACTGAACCTGCCCTAGCTCTTACTTTAGTGCATCCAAGATTTGTGAGTCCAAATTGAGGTTAGCCAGTGTGCAATCCAGGCTATTTAGTATTTTTAAAATTACACACAGTGAGCCTTGGGACGCCTACTAATGAGACCACCAGTGCAACATATCCTGCTTTTACTAGGCAGCTGGGCAGCATTATTTGTGAGTCACAATCAGGGCTTGGGGTTTGGAGATCTCTTTTCTCCTACTTCTTCAGTGAGGGAATTGCCTGAGGGGGATGCCCCTCCCCCATGGAATTAGCAGGGAGATATGACTCCCTGCTACTTTGATACTCTCAAAGTTGCTTACACCATACTTCAAAGTGGTTAATTTCTTCACATGTCCTATTTATATCAAAAGTCTCAAGATGAGCAACAGTTTGTTTATTCCAAGGAAAGAATTGCCCAAACACTTGAACACTGCAGGAATTAATAACATCTAGCACTTTGTTATTGAATCATCTCTTATTTCAGATTGTTAGAATTGATAAACTTTTATGACAAACATAAGCAATGTTGGATATTTTGATAATGAGCTAATTTATTGTAATTGAATCTTCTACCTATAGGATATATGCATGAAGTGACAAGTCAAATTCAACTTGAAAGATTGCTGTTTTTCATGGCAACAGAAGATAACAAGATTTATGTTTCATTCACACTAATGATTTCTGTATGGTAAACAACTAAAACAGGCAGGAAAAAATGTATATCAGTATAAGTAGTCTTCAGGTTATGACAACAATTGGGACCGGGACTTCTATTACTAAGTGATGCAGTCATAAAGTGTGACATTATATAACCACATCGCTTAGCAATGGCAATCCTGGCAGTCCCAGTTGCCATTCAACTCTCAGGACTCTGTGGGTTGTTAAGCAGAAAGAGGCAGGGATCCCAGGCAAAGAGCACAGGGTGGCATGCAGATTCCACAAGAGGTGGGAGGGGTGTCCATGGGCAAATTACTATGCAGGTAGATCAGGGATCCTCCAGGTGAATTCTACAGAGGGCAGGTGGGACAGTGGGGCTCACAGGCTAGTAGGGGATGCTGATGCTGTGGGTGATCTCCTACCCTGTAGAGGAGCTCCTTGGGAGGAAAAGCAGAAGCAGTTTACAGGAACCATTTGTGGCCTTATTTGTCAGCTTCCCACAAGCAAAATCAATGGGGAAGCCAGCAGGAAAGGTTGCAAATGGTGATCACGTGATTATGGGATGGTGCAATAGTAATGCAATCCGGATGCCAAACACCCAAACTGCAATCATTTGGCTGTGAACATACTGCAACATCTGGAACTTCGAGGACTAGTCGTAAGTACCACTCGTTCAGCACCATAACTTTGAATTATTGCTGAATGAATGGTCATAATCCAAGAACTACCTGTTTCAATTAAGTTATTTTTATTCTCCTTTTCTTATGTTAAAAGTGAGAGTGGTCTGAAGAAAGAACTGATCCCACAAAATTCTCATTTTTGTATGAAATTTATTGTGTACACTAAAATATGTAAATGAAATTATACCATACTATTGAATTTTAAGGTTTTTAACACTTTAAAGGGGGAAAACCATATAATCACCATATAGTACTATCTTAAGAAAGGAATATAATCTTGTGTGTCTGTATTCCATACAAGTATTAGTTAACTGTTAAGTATAGTTGTCAAATAGTAGTTGACAAGTGGGCAATATTAGACAATGTATTTGTCTTGAATTAGATTATCATAAACTTAAAAATGTGTAACATTTCTAAAATTCGAATCTAGTGCATATTTGCATTTACTCTTGTATTGTTTTTGTAGCTAAAGAATTAAGTTTTGGAAATATTGCAAAAGTGGTATAATTTTGCCATTGACAACATAATTTTTATAAATATTTATAGATATATACCTAGCTATAACTGGGTGCACAAGGAGTTCGTTTAGAAAGAATGAGCTGCAATCGTTTGGAACTATATATATAGTTCATATATATAGCGTGCGTGTGTCCACGCGCGCACTAGCTTTTAATTCCGAAGAACAGAAATGTGGGGCACAAAGAAAACGAACTAAATCCATCCGGAACAGCTCCTTTCGCACCCTGCCGATTGTATTACATCCCCAGCCCATCAGGATCACCCCGGCCACCTCATACGGAGAAGTCGGGGGAAGGGAGACGATGTGACGTCACAAGCGCCTTCGGCCCGGATCGATGGCGCCAAGGAACGGAGCGTTTCAGGCGCTTTATCCATCAAATCCGCAGCGGCGCTACTAGGAAACTTCTTCCACCTCTCAAGCTAAGAGAGGTGGGAGGCACCTTCCCCCAACCTAATGAGTATTCATAAAGGCAATTCAGCCTCGCGCCCAGACCCAAGGGGACGGTACTTATCTTGCCGCCCCGCCCCTTCAGTATGGCGCTCCTCGGAGTGGGCGTATCTAAAAACACGACGTGCCCCGCTCCCTTGCTGAATATTGATGAGGCGTCTTTCGAAGCGTGTTGTCGTCTCGCCTGGCGCGCCCTGCGATTGGTCGAGCCCATGTATGCGTGGTGACGCGCGTCGCGGCGGTGCGGGTCCCGATTGCTGCAGCCGCTTGTCAGTGTGACGAAGATTGGCACCCAGGTAAGCGCTGTCACTCAAACCTGCTCTTAGCCAGCCAGCCATCCATCACGGCGCGCCCGCCGCCAGTATCGGCCGGCTTGGCTCAGTTGCGCCAATAGATCCGGGATGTGGGGGAACATAGGGGGAGGTGAACCCGCAACATGGAAAAGCGGGATAGGGGCATAGGCACCGTAACTTACTCGGAGGGGGGTTAGGGGCGTCGGCGGTCTGGAGCGAGGAAGGAAAGGGAGGGGGAGTGAGGAAGTTTCTGGAACAGCCGCCGACTGGCCGTTGCTTTTGTAGGAAGAGGAGGTGGCGGCGGCGGCGGCGGCGCGCGCACACACCGAGGCGGGGGAGGTGTCGCGCGCTTCGATGTGGGAGGGGGAGAGAAAAGGGCAGCAGCTGTTCGTGGTGCGACGGGTGGGCGTATGGGGGAACCGCGAGGGCGGTATTTAAAGGGGCCGTTTCGGGGGCATTCCTGTAGACATGGAGAAGTGGAAGAGGAATTGAACATTCAGCGGGGTTTCCCCTACAGCCGCTTTTCCTCGCTCGCTTCTTTTTCTAACTCGCTTGGGCCCCTGAGAAAAGCCCTCCACGTCCCTCCCCCCCCCGTTTTTCCACAGGTTCGCAGCTGCTTTTTCGGAGCTTGAAATAATCCCCCTTTTGCACGTGAACTGACGTGGGGGGATTCATAGTTGAAGTATTGGGGAATCCGAGGGGGTTGTTGTTATTGTAATCTGGTTGTCAACAATAAATGTGGAGGGGACCTCTATCGCTGCTTTGTTTCTGAGCCGTTTTTGGGTGTTTGCTTGGCGACCTGTTTTCAGTCACGCAAAAATCAGGAATATATATATATATATTCGCATACTCTCCACCCCACTTCTCAAAAGGGAGAAGAGAATCTTACAATACATTTTCAAACCAGCAGACAGTCTCCCACGAATTTGTATCCCCTGGCTAAATTGAAAAAGGCACTAAATGACGTTAATGCCAGAACTTGGCAGACCTGGAAATACGAATTATTCTTTGATTCAAGTACTAAGTGTTGAGTATGTGAGCAGATAATGTGTACTTCTTGCCCTGTTTGATATTGGTAAACATTTTGTGATAACCACTAACCGTGTTTATTGTGATAGATGAAGATTGCAACTTGAAAAAGAATGCTAGTTTTCCAGTTCATTAGTTAAAACATTAAGCGTTTAAATGAGTGAGCAAACTGTATCTTTCAAAGTTATACTAAGAACCTTATCCCAATATGCACATTTGAAGTTTTAGATTCCTTTATTTTGATTTTGTGTACCAAGAACAGCAATAATATAAATGATGCTGCAGAATTAGTTTAAACACAGATTTCGAAGGATTCATGATAATATAAATGCTAGGTGCAAATCTTGAAATTTACCTACAGTAATAGAACTTTAATAATCAAAGCGACATTTCCAATTTATTGCACACATGACCATTTTACATGCATACAGTTTTTACACTAAAATATCAAAGATTTGTTTCAGATCACAAATTTTCTGCTTGGGAAAAAAATGGAACTTTAATATTCATAAATATAGTGGATGGGTGTGTATTATCTAATTTTGTATAAATTTTTTTCAGGAGAATAATACAGTGCATTACAACCAAGTTCTTACTCAAATAATTTTACTTAATTGTTCATCAGTAGTTCTTGAAATCTCGGTGAGAATTGGGTTCATCTTTTGATAGACAAGTGGAGGCCGGTGGCACCAAGAATATATATAAGGCTGAAGAAATCCCCCATTCTTGAAAACATTGAGTCACACATGGCATTTTTTAGTTGTCTAATGCTAGATGCTAGAATAAAGTCTTGAAACCAAGATGCTTAGAATGCTGAAAGGGCCATGAAATGCTTCAAATTCAATCTTCAGTAGCTGCTTTGAATGTGTGGAAATAAAATGTAGCATTGATTTGCAATATTTTAAAACAGCTGTATCTTTCTGGGATTGATGCAAAAGTACTACCATTTTTGTAAAAAAAAACTTGGGGATTGAATTCAAAGTACTGCATAATACTAAATGTCCTGGTAAATACAGATGAACAATAAGGAAAGATTCCTGAGTATTCATGTACTAAGAAACGAGGATTGTAGGAGTGGGTAATTTTACTAAGCTACAAGTTATTATATTTTAGTGTTGGCTAGAAATGGCTTTTTTCATCATAATTTCAATAATACAATGCCTACATAGAATAGTAAACTTTGCTTGCATGTTGGAATTTATTTTTGATTTCACTGAAGAAAGCAAAATATTGAATATCTAACAAATTATAAAGTGACAGTTCTAAATAATAGGACAACAGAAATCAATTGAATTTCCATTAATTTTCCGATAATTGATTTTGAAAGGCAGGATATCAATCTAATAATAAATAAACAATTCAGAAGTGATGCATTTCTTTGTTTGGTTGTTGTGAATTGTCCAGTTGACGAGAGTCAGGTGTCATAAAAGTTCAATATATTATAAGTGTTGTTATTCCTGTTGTTTTTATGTTTGTCTTACTGCTTTTAGCTTGGACCCTACCTCATGGTCATTTTCATATTGTAAATTAATTGTTCATCTTAAAATATACTTTTATTTTCTAGTCCCTGTTTCAATTCCACAGTTTGTAATTTGTGTTAATTATTATATAATAGTTAAGCATATAAACTATTATATAACTAAGAGTCACAATCTTTTAACTATTTTAGGGGTACATTAAAGACTTGGTTATAATTACAAGGCAATGCGGCTAGGAATGAAGGTACAAGAAAATGATAAATTGGCATCCTTTTGCAACACTATTTTATTGTAAATTGTTACTTGAGACAAAAATTCAAATTGTTTTAAATGTTTCAATTACTTGGCCTCATGTTTTTTTTATTCTTAATGCTGTGTATAAAGCATGTTTTTAAAAAATTGAATTGGCTTTACATTTGATATTTGAGTGGTATGCTGATGACCACATCCAAAGAGCAATTTTTTTACTTAAATTTAATTAAAATAAAACTCTTGGCAGTAATGGTTATATTCCAATTGTAATTTTCCTACCCTCTTAAGTATTACAACTTTGAGCTACTCTTTTGGGAATTCTAATTGACATCACTCTGCACACTATTTGCCTATGATATTTTATTAAAATAATGTAATTTTATGATATTACTTTCAACTTTACATTCAATGTTAATATAAAATATTTTTAAAGCATAATTAAGTTTCAGATTTGAGGTAAGGTTCAGTTACTTGAACAATTGTTTATTTGAGTTGGGATCACACACAAATAATTCAGATGGTGCTTAAATGAGAATATAAATATTCTAGTCAGATGTTCAACCCTTGGTTTCTTAAATCATATTAAGATTTGACATATCAGTTTACAAATGCTGTATTCAGCACACATTTAGGAGCAAGACCTGAAGCAGCAGTAATTTATTGCAAAGTAAAATCAGTTGAACGAACTGCTTGAACAATTCCATAATATGGTAACATATAATCTTATCACAAACATGATATTGTATAATGGCAGCATCAAAATAAAAAATAACCAAATTACACAATGGTTTTTTTCTTGTAACAGTTTGTATTTCCACTAAAAAAAATATTTACTTCCTTGAAGAAGGTAAAAGTACAGATAGTCCTTGACTTGCAACTACAATTGAGCCCAAAATTTCTATTAAGTGAGGAAGTTGTTAAAGAGAGTTGTGCCTCATTTTACAACCTTTTTCCCACAGTTATTAAACGAATCACTACAGTTTTTAAGTGAATTATGTGGTTGTTAAATGAATCTCGCTTCCCCCATTGAGACTGCTTGTCAGAAGCTGGCTGGGAAGGTTACAAATTTTGATCACATTTTATTTTATTTATTTTATTTTATTTTATTTTTGAATTTGTATACTGCCCTTCTCCCTGAGGACTCAGGGCGGTGAACAGCCAAATAAAAACATCAAATACAAATATTAAAACACATTTTAAAAATATATATAGATTTGGCCCCATTAATTAAAACGATAAACAAAACAAAACAATTAAAAAAACCCTTAAAAAGAAATTAAGCCAGCCCGGCTTGTTGAAAAAAGAAAGTTTTAAGGGCACGGCGGAAGGCACTGAGGTCATGGATTCTCCTTATCTCAGGGGGCAACTGATTCCAGAGGGTGGGTACCCCCACAGAGAAGGCCCTCCCCCTGGGGGTCACCAGCCTGCATTGTTTGGCTGATGGCACCCCGAGGAAGCCCTCTCTCTGGGAGCGCACGGGTCGGTGGGAGGTCGTCGGTGGCAGCAGGCGGTCTCGAAGATAGCTAGGCCCGATGCCATGGAGCACTTTAAAGGTGATAACCAACACCTTGAAGCGCACCCGGAAGACCACCGGGAGCCAGTGCAGTTCACGCAGGAGCGGTGTTACATGGGAGCGCCACGCTGCTCCCGTCACTACCCGCGCTGCTGCGTTCTGGACCAGTTGGAGCCTCCGGGTGCTCTTCAAGGGGAGCCCCATGTAGAGAGCATTGCAGTAATCAAGGCGAGAGGTTACGAGGGCATGAGTGACTGTGCACAAGGAATCCCAATCAAGAAAGGGCCGCAACTGGCGGATCAGGCGAACCTGATAAAAGGTCCCCCTGGTTACAGCCGTCAGATGTTCCTCCAAGGACAGCTGCGTATCCAGGAGGACTCCCAGATTGCGAGCCCTCTCTGTGGGGGCCAAAGACTCGCCCCCAATAGTCAGTGATGGAGTCAACTGACCATATCGGGATGCCGGGAACCACAGCCACTCAGTCTTGGAAGGGTTGAGCTTGAGCCTGTTCCTCCCCATCCAGATCCGTACAGCCTCCAGGCACTGGGACATCACTTCAAGGGCATCGTTGGGGTGGCCTGGGGTGGAGATGTACAGCTGAGTATCATCAGCGTACTGATGGTATCTCACCCCAAAGCCACGGATGATCTCGCCCAGCGGCTTCACATAAATGTTGAACAGGAGGGGCGAGAGGACCGACCCCTGAGGCACTCCACATATAAGAGGCCTCGAGGTCGACCTCTGCCCCCCTGCCAACACGAACTGCGACCGGTCGGAGAGAAAGGAGGAGAACCACCGTAACACGGTGCCCCCCATCCCCAACTCTTCCAACCGGTGCAGCATGATACCATGGTCGATGGTATCAAAAGCCGCTGAGAGGTCTAACAGGACCAGAACAGAGGAGCAACCCCCGTCCCGAGCCCTCCAGAGATCATCAACCAACGCGACCAATGCCGTTTCCGTGCTGTGCCCAGGCCTGAAACCAGACTGGAACGGATCCAGATAGGATGTTTCCTCCAGGAATTGCGGGAACTGTCGCGCGACCACACTCTCAACAACCTTCGCCAGAAAGCGAAGGTTGGAGACAGGACGGTAGTTGGCCAATATTGCCGGATCCAGGGACGGCTTCTTGAGGAGAGGCCTCACCACCGCCTCTTTCAAGGCCGCGGGGAAGTAACCCTCACTCAACGAAGCGTTGATAACACCCTGGAGCCAGCCTCGTGTAACCTCCCAGGAGGCCAGTACCAACCAGGAGGGACACGGGTCCAGTAAACATGTGGCCGCACTAAGTCTCCCCAAAATCCTGTCCACATCATCGGGAGTCACAGCGTCAAACTCCTCCCAGATAACATTCTCAAGACTATTCCTCGTCACCCTGCCCTGATCCACCCAGTCAGAGTCCAAGTCCCCCTGGATCTGAGCGATTTTGTCATGCAGGTATTGTCCGAAATCCTCCGCCCTGCCTTCCAAGGGATCCTCCCGCGCTCCCAGGTGGAGCAGGGAGCGGGTTACCCTGAACAGGGCAGCCGGACGATTCCCTGATGACGCAATAGAGGCGGAAAAGTAATTAAACTTTGCCGTCTTTATCGCCACTAGGTAGGTCTTAATATGCGACCTTACCAGTGTTCGGTCAGATTCAGCGCGACTGGCCCTCCAATTGCTCTCTAGGCGTGTTTTCCGGCATTTCATCTCCCTCAGCTCCTCGGTGAACCAAGGAGCCGCGAGGGATCGACACCGGGTCAGAGGCCGCAAAGGCACGACTCGATCCAAGGCCCCACCAGCCGCCCGGTCCCAGGCAGCTACTAGGTCCTCGGCCGAGTCGTGTGCCAGATCATCAGGAATTGGCCCAAGCTCCGTCTGGAACCTATCAGGATCCATCAGGCGCCTGGGGCGGACCCATCTAATTGGGTCCGCCTCCCTGCGGCGGGGTGTAGCGGTACGAAGGTCCAGATGAAGGAGTGAGTGATCTGACCATGACAAGGGTTCCATATCTATATCCCCTATAACAAGATCACTCAACCACTGGTCAGAGACAAAAATCAAGTCTAGAGTGTGTCCCCCCACGTGAGTGGGGCCATGAACTAACTGGGTCAGGTCCATGGCCGTCATGGAAGCCATGAACTCCCGAGCCATCCCAGATGTTTCACCAACGGATGGCAAGTTGAAATCACCCATGACCACAAGCCTGGGTGTATCAACATGACCTCAGGACTGTGAGTTGCCAAGTGCCTGAGTTTTGATCATGTGACCATGGGGATGCTGCAGTGGTCATAAGTGTGAAAACTGGTCTTAAGTCTCTTTAAAGTGCTGTAACTGAACGGTCACTAAACAAATGGTTATAAATTGAGGACTACCTGTAACTTGTTTTGGCATTGTTTATAATTGGTAGACTCCTATTCAAATAGAATAAGTATAATTCACTTACAATACTATCAGCTACTCTCTTTGAAAGGAACATTGTAGTTGTTTGCTTTGTGCTGCACCCATCCCACTGGCAAAGTCAAAATTGTTTAATTGTGTACTGAAAATCATTCTGCAAGACAATTTTCTGCTTTGTTTCATCTGCCATCCCAGCAGAGGTGTATTCTGAGTACTTCAAAGCAGCTGCTGTGTGTTTTGGAGCAGCTGCAACTTCAGGAAGCAGATCCAGGTATGGCTACTAAGTGGCTCTCTTGAGATCTTCTGGGCATGTGTGTACATGCACAAAATGTGCTTCCTTTGGGATAACCAATGAATGCTTTGTGGAATGAGTAAATGAGTTTAATTTGGATCACAAATATAACAAGGTGTTTTGACATAAATCCTTAAATTATGCAAAACACTTTTCAAATTCTCTTAAGGATTCAGAAATGCTGCTTTTTAAAAATACAATGTAATAGTATTTCTGAATAAGAATCTATAATTGTTTGCAATTCTATCTGGAATGTTGATATAAGGCCCAATTTTATTGGGTGTATTTCAAAGTGCTGATTATCACCTACTAATCCCTTCATGTCACAGGGCTTTGTTATTTGCAGGACTAATGTTATCCATGTATCCAACCATTTTGCGGGGTGGGGAGGGTTGCATTGATACGGATATGAATGCTGCTTCAAGAGTAGAACATCAAGGTGTGTTTTTGATGTTTTTATTTTCAAACAGCTGTTTACTGTCCAGAATACTATGTCAAGTGCCTTGTCATATAAATTGAATAAATAAATAAATAAAACTTTGCTCTGGAATAAAAGGCTGAATATTAATACATTTTAGAGTAATGAAAATATTAAATTTATGTTCCACATTAGTGGGATTTAGTTTTTTATTCACATTCTTTTAATAATATATATATATATATATATTTGCCCTGTTTAGTGAAGGGGAAAAAAATCCCGATATGTCACGTGACACTGCCATGACGACGCAAGTTTGACACCCCTGGTCTACACTATTTTTAAATGCTGCTATTTGCTACATTAATTCTTGCACCCCAATTTACAGTAGTAAACAAGCAGGATGGACTAATATAATTAAGAAGGAACCTATTAGCCTTTTCTCATTTGAGGGTAAGATATTTGTGAAAATATAGTAATCCAAAAAAAGTTTCAGAACGAAAATCACTACTCCCAAGAACCAGATTACTTCTGTCGTAGAAAAGATGTACCAAATATGTGTATCATAACAATTGTTGTAGGCACATATCAGTTGTGGAAAGAGGCTCATCACTGTTCGTTGAGTTTGCAACAGCATTTGAAAGTGCTTTTCAGTGGCACCAATTCCAGAAGATAAACTTGCTAAAATAGCCTCCTGAAGCAGCTGTACAAGGAATCATGAAATCTGTTCATGATAAAATGCCTGTCTGGAGTGGAGTGGAGTGCAGTACTGTTGCATCTTCCTTTCTGCTTAATAATCCACACACTCATACTGAAAGTCTTTGCCATCCGCTTTGATGGAGCAAAGTTCGAAGTTGAACAATTTTAATACTTTGATTCTGTTGTCCAGAAACAGAACCATCTGCCATAGCCAATGTCAACAATCAAATTGGCCTATCAAGCATTGACACAGTTCCTCTGGCAAGAAAAAAAAGCAGCGGAAGCATTGTTACCAATATGCTTATTTATTTATCATTAATACTATAGGTACTGTTGCTATATGGTGCAGAATTTTGGACCTTACCTCAAAACGATTTGGAAAATCCAGAGGTTTTCCAAATGTTCTGCCTACAGCAAATATTAGTATTTCAATCTGTGATAATATAACAAATGAAACAATGAATGGTGCAGCAGCCAAACTATGATAATGGATAAAATTCAAAAGCATAAATAAGAATGGTTTGGAGAAATCTGCAAAGTTCCATGCTCACTCACTGGTGGAAATCACATCCTGTTGGTTGTAAAAATACAGGAATCAGTTCCAAATAAGATGATGTAGGAAATCTTAGATTCAACCCAAAGGGGGAAAAAACTCTCACAATAAAGTTGGAAAAATATGTACATGATATTAGTGGATCCATAGTACCTACATCAAGACTCATTATCATATGTCAGCTAAGGTCTTCAAGCTCAACTCAGTTTTTAACAACACTTTTAACAACACACTTCAATAACAACACCTGTGTTGTTAAAATTTGTCACCAGAAAGTAAATTGAAAATTTAAAAATATAATTGTGGAACTAATTTCAAGTTTGAATGTTCTTTTTTCTTGTGAACATAGTACTACTTAGAATTCAAATTATAAGTTATGACTGAACTAAACATTACATCATTTTTTGAAAATGTTTTCCATTTTAATGAAAATAAATTAAATCTGCTATTCTTATTTCCCTGCTCATGCAAAGGCATGTAAATTATTTTCTCCAAAGAATATGATGGTATCAAAAGTCATATGTATGTTCTTCCATTCTTTTCATGTTTCTCTAAATATAAAAAAAATTGTAACACTGCAAACTTTTTTCTTTTCCTAATATTTTTTATTCTTCTGTTATAATCATCTACTTTTTTTGAAATCTATAATTTCTATTGTAACATGTTTTCTTTTCCCACATTTATTTTTATTTGACCAATATCTCCAATATGAACTTTTGGAGAAAATTATGTACTGGTTGGGCTTTTTCTTCTTCCACTAAAGATGAAATTCTGTGGCTATATTCCCACAGATTATCTTACTAGAAGTGTCAAATAGTTAAAAAGTAATTGTTGCTTCTATGGTTATAACTAGTTCAATTAAATGAAAATTGGTCTGCTACTTATTTAGGCATACCCTTCCCAGGAAATGAATACCAGAGGGGTAGTATGACAAGTAATTGAAATGCTGGACGTTATTTGCTAAGAAGAGAGAAAAGCATTGATTGGTAAGCACTGTTTATCTTACGACAAAAAAGAAATCCAAAAACCAATATCTTGCTGATCAGTCATTATATCAAAAATAATCCAATGAGGAAATTCCATTGTTCTGACTCTTGGAATTTTCTTTACTAGCCAACAGCCAAATTATTTTCAGTGTAATATCTTGCAGATCTGTGTACCTAAAGATTGCAATTGCAAGATTTTTCTATTAATGTCTCCAGAGAGAGTAATTGAAAATAGAGAAGTGCTATGTGATAATCTGCTCATATTCTTGTGTGCTGCTACATTATATTAATTGATATATTTATCCCTTTCACCACTAGAACTTGTTCCTTTAAAAAATATAGCATCCTGATCCTCACTGTTTGAATTACATTTCCATGCAAAATTAAAAAATACAGGGCAGGTTTATTTAAAACCTAATTTTAGTAATTAATACCTTATTGTTTTGAGAATAAGACGATAATGTCATCACAGAAAGAGAGAAGACGGTTCAATGGTCAGCTTGGTGAGAGATTTAGTTATCCAGTTGAGAAACAATAGTACTACAGTGATGGATATTGACACAGACAATATCTCACTTGATGGGTATAGATGAAAAAGGTTCCTGATAATATATCCATTTGACAGTATTGTATTTCTATAAAACAAAGTTCTTTGTTTTAAAAACTGTTAAATGATGATCTGAATGTGAAACAGATTTTCCTGCATTGGTATTGACCAGGTTTGACATTTATGTGGTTCCTTCTGAGCTGATAATTTCTTTATTTTGTTTTCTTTCGTTTTGTTTCCAACTTATATATCTCTTGAATGTCAACCTCAGAGCAAAAGAACCCCTGAAGATTCTTGCTTCCTTCAATGCTCCTTTACTTGAGAATTTTGGAGGTTTTTAAAAATGTGTAAAGCAAAGTGAAGAAAGAGCTATTTCACCAACACCATTATTGGATACAGATTCTTCTATAAATTAATGGCTCTAAACCAATTTATATTACCTTACATAGAATATTTTCATGTTCCTACATCTGCATGTTTTCTTTAATTTTTGAAAAACTACCTATTTTGCCTACTCTTATTACAGTATACATAGTAGCTTGGCATCACCAAAGAGTGGTTGTTATCTAACTCTGTGGACTGACTCATCCATATAAGTATAATTTATATGGATGAGTCAGTCCACAGAGTTAGATAACAACCACTCTTTGGTGATGCCAAGCTACTATACTTACTAAACTATACTTACACAGATATAAACTGTGGTAATTAAAAAAAACACCCTTATCATAGCAAAAATGGCTACTTCTAGTCTGAATATGGCCATTTTCAAAACCACATGGTGAAAATATACAGCTGAGCTGGACATGTAAATCAATTTTTTGTAAATTAAAAGATATGATGAATGTGTGAGAGAAGAATTAAGGTAGTTATAAATGGGTGGGTGCCTGTAAATGTGACAACAAATAAATACAAAAGTTTGTGGTTGAGAAACATCATGAATCTTTGTTCCTTGGTTTAGCCATTGAACAGTCTTCAAGAGAGAAAGAGTGTATACTAGTGTGCTACACTAGAAGGGACTTAAAAAGAACCAGTTTGTTATACCATCTGATCCCATGACTGCACCAGTATCCATATTCATTCAACCAAATAATCTGAAAGAACATTTTCCTAATTCCCAAAAGGTTGGTTTTGCATTATTTTCTTTCAGATATTTTTGTGGTACATTTCTATTTTGTTTGGGCATGTGAAAACCCATCTACAATTTGGACAAAAATTATGATTATCAGTATTTTATGACAATAACAAGCATATATATGAAAGAACACATTTTTTAACTGCACACAGATTTCAACAATTCTATAATTTTCTTTCAAAATACTAATATTCTTTATGGTTTCTTTTCAGCAAAAAAAATTGAACTAAGAAATGAATTGACTTCAAAGCAACTCTCAGTAACCATGATGGCAACACAGACATTAAGTATAGACAACTATCAAGATGGGCAACAAGTAAGACTTTTTTTACAAAAGTTCATATGATATGAATTACCTATAGAATACAAAAATCATGCTTCTGACTTATATATTATCCATTTCTTTTTTTACACAGTTTATGGATTCCACATTGGATATTATCTCTTTATGAGTCTAGGTTAAATAAACTCAGTCTACTTGACTCTTCTTGCCAATAGCAATAGTTAAACAGATTACAATGAATACTTTCTGGTTTGTTTAGTATAATATGCAAATTGATTTTATAATTTTCTTTGCCGAACAACCAATTAATGTCTCTTTTCAACATTGAATTGTGAAGGGGTTAAAGATCCAGAATCCAAATTCATTCATCATATCTTGAAAGACTTTCTGCAATTGTTTGAATCTTCTGGCAAGAAGAGTCAATCAGATTCTACCAGTATATTGTTGATTATAAAATAAAGTAAAATAAAATAAAGCTGAGGAGGCATGAAGTGCGAATATAACCAAGGTGGAATCTTAAGTTCTTTTCCTTGCCTTAAGTATTCTGGAAAAAAATTGCATTGAATATTATAAATCTATTCAGCTATTATTTAAATCTAGTTTAAATAATTGTTTTTGTATGGTTTTTAGTTGTTTTAGTTATATTTTATTAAGACTGTGAGTCATTATGTGTGTCTACGTAAGTCTATGTGCCTACATGAATGAATGAATGAACAACATTGATTTTATTTTCATCATAACACTTTTGTTTTCAAATAAGGATACTGTTGAGGTTCTCAACTGTGGTTTTTTTCTTTTTCACTGATCTGTTTTCTTCCATTACCTACTGTAAAATGAATTATGGCACTTTAATAGAAATCTGCCATTTTACTAGGGGCTATCATTGCTTAGAAATGAAAACCACTCATCTTTTTTACCCTGTAACAAGATTGGATTTCTATTTCAAACAAATTAGTGGCTGTAATATCTTTGGATTTGTAATGTGTTACAAACTAAGAAAGATGCTTAGTTAAATCTCATTGGCACATCAACAACAACAACAACAACAATAACAACAACAACAACAACAATAACAATAACAATAACAACAATAATAATCTAATTGACAAAATGGTACTAAAAATGCAAAATGAAGAAAAATGAATTTAAATATGGCATGGATTAATTACTAGAAGGCATTTGACTCATTACCCCACAGCTGGATTAATGCCTGTCTGGAAAACTTTGAAATCAACAAAAATATATGTACATTTTTGAAAGCAAATATGCAAAAATGGAAAACAGTTCTAACAGCAAATGGGGAGAACATTGGTGAAGTCAACATCAGACAAGGAATCTTCCAAGGTGAAGATTCCTTCACCTTCCAAGGTGAAGATTCCTTCACCTTCCAAGGTGAAGATTCACTTTCACCACTACTGTTCAACATCTCATTAATTCCATTGACAATAATCCTATGAAACACAAAAACACAAATTTTGGGATACCAAATCTCAAGCCCACATGGCAGATAAATCATCTACTATACACGGATGACTTAAAACTATGCGAAAAGCCCCACTGAACTTGAATCAATACTCAATAAAGTTCAGCAGCGACATCAGAATTAACTTTGGACTTGAAAAATGTGCTATATTATCCATGCAGCAAGGAAAAATGGAAAAAATAGAAGGAATAGAACTGGAAATGGAAGCATCATGAAAGCATTAGCAAAGGATGATGGTTACAAATACCTAGGCATATTGGAAACAGATTTTTTTTTTGTATATGTTTTATTCACACTTTTTCTTTAACAACCAACATTTTTTTGTGGACAATGTAATGTCTGGATTGACATATTTTTCACACAGTGCTCACAGTAATAATACAATCACATATACAGAATTTTTGTCCTCCAACTTCTAGCCTTAATGTGCTCATTATAATTCTAATATATTATTTTGTGTATCAATCAATATTTTACTATTTTCCCAATTTATCACTCGGTGTTCCACCACATTTTCAATATCTCAACTTTCTATAAATACCAATAGAATCAGTTATCAATAAGATTTAATCAGTCCCAAGATTATATCTAAGTCCTCTGAATTTATAGTCTTTAAATACTATATTTTCCTGTATATTTTTTACATCCTGTTGATCATAATTATACCTTTAAATATACCTAATCCTAGTCTTCCATCTCCTAATCTTAATGTATCTGGTATTTATAATAAATTCCATTATATGTCTACTTATATACTACTATTTTCCCAGTTTAAACTTGCCACTTATTTCTATTGTTACTATATTGCAAAATAGTATATCTCTATCCATATTACCCTCCATGGGTAAAATGAGGACCTGGTTTGTGGGGGCAATAAGCTGACTTTATAAAATATACAAAAGTATGAAGGCTATTGCTTAACGCATGGTAAGCCGCCCTGAGTCTCCGGAGAAGGGCGGCATATAAAAATAAATTTAATTTTTTTTAAAAAAAAATCATCTCTCAGCCTTTTAGGATTTCATCATTTATTGATTTTTTAGGGATTCTTTTATGTTTCTCTCTTAGAATCCTATATGTCTTTCTAGCATTTTTACACAAACTCATTGTTCCCTCTGTCTTACCCTTTATCTCCTTCTGCTGTATCTTTTGAATATCTATCCATGACCTTTCATTATTTTTGAAATATCTTCCCTTTCCCCCACCCTCTATTCTGTTATAAGCTCTTAGGGTATTTTTTTTTTTTTAATTTGATTTATATGCCGCCCTTCTCCGGAGACTCAGGGCGGCTTACCATGCGTTAAGCAATAGCCTTCATACTTTTGTATATTTATACAAAGTCAGCTTATTGCCCCCACAAACTGGGTCCTCATTTAACCTACCTTAGAAAGGATGGAAGGCTGAGTCAACCTTGAGCCTTGGAGAGATTCGAACCAGCAGTAAATTGCAGGCAGCTGTGTTAATAACAGGGTGCTTTAAACCACTGTAGTACCAAGGCTCTTGGTACTCTTTGATTTTTAGTATTTATTATTGCTGTCTTTTCAGTATTTTTGCCTGTTTTTAACTTATTTTTATCTTTTTGTATTTTATTTAGCTTTGTCACTTCCACCACTCCTTCTAATTTCTCAGCTGTTTTCTGTATATTACTGTGTTTCCCTGAAAACAAGCCCTCCTGGAAAATAAGCCCCCCGGAAAATATTTAAATGCATGCACAGCCATCCCCGCCATTTCCTCTGGTTAGGGTTAGGGAGACAGAGCTGGAAATCAGATAAGATGGCAAGAAGAGCCCTGTCTTGCTCCATGCGCCCCAAAATAATAAGACTTCCCCAAAAATAAGGCCAAGCGCTTTTTTGGGGAGGGCTTGTTTTCTCGGGGGGGAGGGGCTTATTTTAGCACATGCACTCAAAAGCTTGATTGGCCTTATTATCCGGGGAGATCTTATTTTTGGTTGACATTGACAGGTTGTACCTGCCAAGAAGAATAGGGGGCAGAGGGCTATTGCAAATCCATCAAACTGTAGAAGAAGAAAAATGAATTTGAATGACTATGTGAATCAAAGTACAGAAAAATTGCTAAAAGCTGTGAAAACAGAACATTATAAAAACAACAGAAACAAAGGCAGAATATAAGGAAAAACAGCTGGATGACAGATTAAGTGGATGGAAAAGCAAAGCTGTGCATGGACAGCACTTGAAAAACATTGAAGGAAAATATGATAACAACCTGACATGGGCAAAGCTTAAAATGGGAACCATCAAAAAAGAAATGGAAGGTTTAATACTTGCTGCTCAAGAACAAGCACTACAAACTAATGCCATGAAAGCGAAGATACAAAAATCCACTGACAATCCAAACTGCCGACATTGCAATGACAAAGTTGAAACTGTTTCACATTTAATATGTGAGTGCAGCAAAATCGCTCAAACTGATTACAAAGCTAGACATGACCGAGTTACTAAATTAATCCACTGGTCATTATGTAAAAAATATGACTTACTTGCATCCAAAAAGTCATGGGATGATAAAGTGGAAAAAGTCATCGAAAATGAGAAGGTGAAGATCTTGTGGGACTTTTGAATACAGACAGATCATCATGGCATAGGACCTAGTTATCTTCGAGTCCGCCTGCTGCTACCGATGACCTCCCATCGACCTGTGCGCTCCCACAGAGAGGGCCTCCTCGGGTTGCCTTCAGCCAAACCATGTAGGCTGGTGACCCCCAGGGGGAGGGCCTTCTCTGTGGGAGCATCTACCCTCTGGAATCAGCTGCCCCCAGAGATAAGGAGAATCCAAGACCTTGGTGCCTTCCGCCGTGCCCTTAAAACTTTCTTTTTTCAGCAAGCCGGGCTGGCTTAACATATTTTTTAACATATTTTAAAATATTTTTTAATTGGTTTGTTATCTTAAATTGGGGCCAAATTAATATATATCCTTTTAATTGTTTTTAATGTTTGTATTGTATGTTTTTATCTGGCTGTACACCGCCCTGAGTCCCTCGGGAGAATGTGCGGTATATAAATTCGAAATAAAATAAAAATAAAAAATAAATTTGGAACACAGCACACCAGATATCACAGTTGTCGAAAACTGAAGTGTACAATATATTGATATTGCTCTACCAGGAGACACCAGAGTCAAAGAAAAAGAACTGGAAAAAATCACGAAATATCTCAACCTGGCCATTGAAACTACGTGATTATGGATGAAATACATAACAGTGATACCCACTGTCATCGCGGGACGTGGTATCATGTCCAAGAATTTTACAAAATATATCAAGAAATTGCAGCTTCCTGCAATAACACCAGGGGAACTGCAAAAAACTGTGCTACTCGGAATATCATACATTTTAAGAAGATACTTGGTTGATACCTAGGATGCTGGCAGCAAGCCGTATCAACCAGCACCAGTGATATTTGTGATACATTTTTAAATGTTCAGTTGACTGAGTTTCATGTTTAATGAATAAAAGTGATATAATCATCATCATCATTATCATTATCTGCCATCCATTAGCCTGAACCTCCTAACACATTCAGCTAAGGAGGTCCTGCAGTTTATGAATCCCTAGGTAAGTACAAAAAATGCTCTTTGGATTTTTCTGCCCAATTCCAACTTTATGCCAATGTTGAAATACAAACAATACAAACAGTTGAGTTATTATGCGAAGATACATTGAGAAGATTTTAACAAGGAATTCACTGAAGCTATAGATAGATAAATTAGTTTATAGGGGAAGGGGGTGAGGGGGGAATTTATAAAATTAAACAATCATATATGCAGAAATCTAGATCAAGTCAATGTAGCTAGCATATTTAAACTGTTGATGTATTAACTGATTGAATTAATAGTTTCCAAAATTTTTCACATAATGTGTCATAATCAGTGGTTGGATTCAACCGGTTCACACCACTTTGGCCGAACTGGTTGTTAAATTGCTGGCTGGCCCAGCCCCGCCCACCGGGGGTTGCCATTCAGGGTGGGGAAGCTGCAGGGGCATGACTGGGAGCTGCGCTGATCAGTTAGGAGGCTGCAAATGAACCGACTGACCCGATCAGCTGGGAAGCTGGGAGGCTGCGAATGAACCAGCCGATCAGCTGGGAGGCTGCTCCCCACCATCTGCAGTCAGTTTTTAGCCTGGAGAGCTTCCTGCAAACTCCTGCAACAACCACCGTTCCCTCACTAACCTGCTTTCCAGCTCAGTTCTCTGGCATGCAGGGCAACAAAAGAAGACCATGTGACTACCACTTTAAAAAAAACTACAGACCTTCCAACTTCGTGGTATCTCCCCCCCCCCCCAGAAGTTGGAAGGTCTGACTGAAGGTTGTTTTTTAAACTGGTAGTCACATGGTCTTCTTTTGTTGCCCTGCAAGCAGGAGAATGGAGCTGGAAAGCAGGTAAGTGAGGAAATGGTGGTTGCTCTGGACTGGTGTGGAAGTGGGGATTTTGCATTATGATTGCTCATAAGTAAGTAGGAACCAGTAAAAAGGAATGGAAAAATCTTTATCTGTGGATCACCGTTTTTCAATCTTGGCAAGTTTAAGATGCCTGGGGAATTCTGGGAATTGAAATCCATGCACCTTAAAGTTGCCAAAGTTGAGAAGCATGGGTCTACACTAGAGTTTAGGATTTTCCATTCCAGTTTTATTTAGAGTTTGGTGCAATTAAATATATCAGTTATGGTTTCCTTAACAAATAGTAATTAAAGTGATATGAACCATTACTGGACTTTTTGTGAGAAACTGAAATTAAAAGTTGATCTGTGCTTTGATGATTAAATATGGGATTATGGAAATAATGTGGACAAATGTTAATTTTCAAGTAAGAGTTTGATATATTTTGTACTATATCTGTACCAAAGAAGCTTGGAAGTCATTCTTTTTCAGTTTTCCTTTTCCTCTTTCTTTCTTACATTTTCACTCCTTTCCTGAGCATTTTTTTTTCAAATCTGTTTTTTATTTGTTTTTCCCTTAGCTTTGTATTTTTTTGATGTATGAAGGATGAAATACTTGCATAACAACAGCAAAACAGAGAAAGATTGTTAAGAGATCTGTCTGTTATATTACCATTGCTTAAATCTTCCATTTATGATCAACCACAATTACTTACTGAAAAAAGATATAAGAAAGATCATATGCCTATATCCATCTATCTATTTTTGTTAATTGTTTGTACTTTTTGTATAGTTGCCAAGTCATACCAACTTTCTGGCCACTTAGTAGGCTCTCTCTCCTTTGCTTAGAAAACAAACCATTTTCAGTGCAGCTGGCAATATAAAGCATATTTCTTTTCCAGCAAATGCAAGTAGTAACAGAATTAAAAACTGAGCAAGATCCAAACTGCTTAGAAACAGATGCAGGAGGATTGAGTCCTTCCCCAGTTGAATCTCAGACACCGATGGATGCAGACAAGCAGGCTATTTACAGGTAGTACTGTTGACCAATCTTAAGTGGTAAAGTATATTATTGTCTTTAATCTGTAGAGTGATTGTTCTCAAACTAAGGATGAAGTTTCTGGGATGTAATAGACAATCACAGTTGAAAGAGACCATACAAAACTCAATAGAGGATAGGATTCTGAAGCCTTCTTCCTTTCCGTAGCCAGACTCCTCTATGTTTCACCACTTTAGCCAAAATTGAGAACTACTGCAATTTTATTTTCTTGGGCAAGATCAGGTATACCTGTATTCAATGCTAGTATAAAATTGTATAGTAAAGAATAGGTACCGATCCCAGTGCACCCACAATGTAGAATCAGTACTTAAAAAGCTACCTAAACTCAAACATTTAACAGCAAGCACAGCAACAAACTTTATGTATTTTGAGTTCTTTATTATGTTGTATTTTCAGCCATTTTATTACTTACCTAAGTCAATGTTCTGCATGTTTACAAGTGAGTAAGCTCTATTAAAGTGAGACTGACAACTCAGTGAAGTAGCATAAGATAGTGCATATTTTATTTATTTAAGTAAGGTTTGTGATTTTTATTTCAGATTAAGAGTTTCTATTTGAATATAAATTTTAAAATGTTTGCATTAATTATATTTGTATCTCACCACAATCAAGGGCAAACTCTTGGTGCTCGGAACAAGAAAAAAAAACCAGTAAATAACAATAAAAATTAAGTTTACACTTGAGAATGCAATATACCATAGTTTCTTCCCAACAGTGCACAACACTGTTTAAGTGTTGTGCAGGTTTAAACAGCAAACAAAAGATTAGTTTTCTATTCCGGGTTAGATTAGCCATGAATACATAGCATCTTAATTGTTAATGTAATTTATTTTATTATGTATGCAGTGTCTAAATTATACATGTTTTATCATGTTGACTTACAATTTCTAGTCTTATAGTTTGCTCATCTTTAATTCCTAGGCATCCACTGTTTCCCTTATTAGCACTGTTATTTGAAAAATGTGAACAATCTACACAGGGTTCAGAAGGCACAACATCTGCAAGTTTTGATGTAGATATTGAAAACTTTGTTAGGAAACAGGAGAAGGAAGGAAAACCCTTTTTTTGTGAAGATCCAGAAACAGATAATTTAGTAAGTAAAAGCATTTTAGGAAAAGAGTGACATATTAATTTATGTTTCTTTTGTTGTATTTGTACAAATCTTGCTATTTAAAAATTATGTTTATTTTGACTCTTTATTTCATTCCTTGAAACCTGGGATAAAGTGTCCTTTGTTTCCAACATGGGCAATGTAACACATAAATATGGATCAAAGAAAGGAAGTATTTCTGCATACATTTCCAAATGTTATTTGGCAAACTGACCTTTTCCCATTATTTCTTGATTGTCCAACTCCAATGATTTTTATTAGCTAACATATAAAACAGTAGAAATATGGCCATCTCCTCATATAAACAAGCTATGCATCTCCACAAACTACCACAACCCCTAGTACAAAAGATTGTTCCCCCAAGGAAGTTTCTTTTTTTCCTCTCTTTGTTAGATAAATAGATTAATTTAGGGAATAAAATGAAGTGGCAAAGTGCCTATCTATTTAAACAACTACGAATTCAGAAAGCACTGAAATAAAGCCTTTTTAAAAACGACAATTAAGCAAAATCTAGCAAAATTTGTATTCCAATTAATGTTTAATGAACTGGTTAAGTTAAATAATATTCAGGTAGTCCTCGATTTATGACAATAATTGAGCCCAACATTTCCATTGCTAAACAAAGACAGTTATTGAGTTTTGCCTCATTTTATGACCTTTCTTGCCACAGTTGTTAAGTGAGTCACTGCATTTGTTAAGTTAGTTACATGGTTGTTAAATGAATCTGGCTTCTCCATTGACTTTGCTTGTCAGAAGGTCATAAAAGGTGATCATATGACCCTGGGATACTGCAATCTTCATAAATACATGCCAGTTGCCAAGCATCTGAATTTTGACCATGTGACCATGGGGATACTGCAATGTTCATAAATGTGGAAAATGTTCATAAGTCACTTACACAGTGTCAGTGTACAAAGTACGCTTTTCTGTACTGTTGTAACTTCGAACAGTCACTAAACTAATAATTGAAAACTAAAGACTACCTGTAATTGCAAGTAAAGCAGCATTAGCCAGCTATTTTATGAAAGTCAAACACAAGATTTATATGAATTCTGTTGTATAATTTGAGTAGCAGTATAGTATGATTTTCAGAAAAGCCTTCTCCAGATGACTTTGGTATTTAAAGTGAAATTAATAGAAAGATCCTCTCAGTGGTTGTTTTCATTAAAGAGGAGGGAAAAGTCTTCTAGGCTACCTTTTTCCTTTTAAATTGTAGCATTTCTATTACATTCAACAGCCAGCCATGTAGGAAATATTTTTGTTTCTTTCTTTTTGATAATATATATAATGTTTTTATTTATAATTGTCTGTGTTGCTTATAAAGTATGGTACCTTGTAAAGATTAGTATATACTGAAAGACAAGAATATAAATAATTATAGTGAATCTGTTTACCAGCAGGTTTTGTTCTATCCACTTTTAATATTAGGAAAAGCCCTGTTTCGTTAAACAGATACGTTGTTGTTGTTGTTGTTGTTGTTGTTGTTGTTATTATTATTATTATTATTATTATTATTATTATTATTATTGTTGTTTTGTTACTTTATTTTGTGTATTTAATAACTTATTTCATTTTAATGGTTGTAAATTATAGTCACTGAACTTTATTTTAAACTCTGTCAGGGAGACCAGATATAAATACAGTATTGTAAATAAATGTAAACGAAATGCAGACATTTTTGTATGTTGTTTTAAAATTCTGTTTGTTTATCTTCAGATGGTAAAAGCAATTCAGGTTCTACGAATTCATCTGCTTGAGCTAGAAAAAGTTAATGAGCTCTGTAAAGATTTTTGTAGTCGTTATATTGCATGTCTAAAGACTAAAATGAACAGTGAAACTCTGCTAAGTGGGGAATCTGGGAGTCCTTATTCACCAGTACAACCCCAGGTAACTTTCATGATAAATCAAGTATATTTTCTTTATTGCTTTGTAATGTACCATATTCCCAAAAAAATCAGATTAGATAAAAGAAGCTTTTTAAAAATCTTATAATATGCTTTCTTAATAATTTGATTAAATGCATAACAATGCAGTTTTAAAAAAGAAGATCTATGACTTGCCAATTAGCAATGTTTAATTCTTTGTGATGTTATTAAAGATACCAGGTTTCCCTTGTGCAGTTCTTAGTAATCCGGTACATGAAATTGTAATTCTTAAAGAATGACTATAATTTGTCAACTCTTTGTCTGCAGTCCAGCAACTTTAAACATGATAAAGATAGCTTGGATTTGCTGGAGCAGCTGTCTTCATGGAAAGAGTCACCAGAAAATGTGAGCAGTAGAGCAAAATTGACACAATTATCATTACACTTCTTTGGCACTGTTTCCTTGGCCTAAGTTTTGGGTTGGCTTTGTTCATCTCATTGTAAATAATGGCCCTATCCATAATAGGGGAGTTCTCAGTGCAGAAAGAAAGTTCTTGATAGCTCTCTGTCATATACACAAGACTTCAGAGCATAAAGTTCTTCTGATTTAGTAACTAAATCTAAGCACAAGAAACCATGTGCAAAAGAGACTAGTTGAAAAATATAAATAAGCAGGAATCATTCATCTCACGTTTTATTCATGAAATATCTCCTTTCCTGGCTGTCTTATGTTGGGAGAGGAATTTAAGAAAATGTGCTGCAAATATTAGACTAAGTCAACCTGGAAGCAGATTATTACCCTCTTTTTGCACATCCAAGAATCACTTACTACAGTTATTAAAAATCAATTGCATTATTTTCTGCCCTGTTAAGATGACAAACAATGAGAAATTCTAAAATTAAAACTTGTGGCTTCACATAATTAAACAAAAACCAAAACTCCGAACTTCCTCTGTAAATCCAATAAAAGAAAATTTAAAAATCTATTTTAGCCACCAAAGTATATTAAGCAAGGTAAGGCAAAGCACTGGCGATCAAAAGATCAACCACCACTGTATTAACTGAAGGCATGAAAAGCTAACCTGAAACAATATGGCTTATAAATGTCCATCATTGACCTATGGACCTTTATTTTGCTATATAATAGTATAATTATTGAAAAATGTGTCCCAATTGGCAATTAAATTTTTATAATACTAATGAAAGTTATGTGATCCCCCCCAGTTCAGATAGTTATGTAATTTACTATTTCTGTTTAAACCTAAGTAATATGGGCACCAATACAGTCCTCAACTTACAACAATTCATTTGGTGCCCATCCAAAGTTACAATGGCACTGAAAAATGTGATTTATTACCATTTTTTAGAGTTACGACCTTTGCAGCATCCTCATGATCATGTGATCAAAATTCAGATGCTTGGCAACTGGTTCATATTTATGACTGTTGCTGTGTGCCAAGGTCATGTGATCACCTTTTGCAACCTGACAAACAAAGTGTATGGGGAAGCCATATTAACTTAACAACCAGGTTACTAACTTAAAAACTGCAGTGATTCACTTAACAACAGTGGCAAGAAAGATAGTAAAATGGGGCAAAACTCACTTAACAATATACATTTTAGGCTCAGTTGTGGTTGTAAGTTGAGGACTACCTGTATTTACATTTCAGAATGAGGTCTGCCAGAGTAAATTCTTCATATATTGGATCAGAGTTTATTGGAGATAAAATACAATAGAAAATAAATCTCTGCATGATAATATTTCTGCCCATGTGTTTACCATTTATGCACAGGTCAACAACACATGCATAAAATCTCATTTGGATTTAATGGACATTCTGCTGTAACCCTTCCCCATTATTATATCTCGACTAAAGTCACTATATTGTTTATGAGTAGACTGTCAGGGCCAATCCAAAATGCTGGTGTTAAATGTAAAAAACTTTTAACAGTGCAGTGCCAGGATATATTGGACAATACCTTGCAAAACTGTTTCTGCCCATTCAGTCTGGTCCTCAAGAGCTGACCTAAAAGTTCTCACCATTCTTGTGGTTATTACAGGCCTTCTCTGAAAGAGCCCCTACTTTTGGGGATACATTTCCCCCCCAAGGTCCAAGCATCTCTCACTTTCCTAAAATTCCATAACCAAATTTAAAAAGTTTTATTTCAACATGTTTTTGACCTCAGCTGCATGACTGACGCCAACTATCTTCGTTTGATCCTTGCTTTTTGGTGGTTTGTTTTTAATATTGATTTGCATTTAGTTATTTATTATTATTATTATTATTATTATTATTATTATTATTATTATTATTATTATTATTTTATTTGGGGGGATGGAGGTGGGGATATTGTATATAGCCCAGACATGTTTGAGATTGGAATAGTATAAGTACTATGAAAAAATAAATCCTTTAAATAGTTTATAGTATTCATCTTCATTACTGTAAGAACTCTCCTAGAAATCCATTGGAAACATATATTTATCACTTACAGAAGAAAAATTAAGTTAATTATGAATAGTCTAAAAATAATATATGTTTTTAGAAAATTAATATTTCTTCATTGAATTTCATTTAACATTTCATGTCAAGCTCATGTCAACTTATTAAATTGCATTCTTGTATTTCATATATCAGATTGTATTTGTTTGATGATTTACTAATTTAGGTAAATATTTTAAATCTGAACTTTTAGCAAAATATTTTAAAAAATCATCTTTGCCGCGTAGGTTTAAGATGCTCAGGAGATCTTTAAGATTGAAAATCTGTACAATTTATTTATTCTTTCTTTTTTAAAAAAAAAAAAAATCAAGATTAAGTACCAATAGCTATTTCCAAATATTCATCCCATTATTTCTAGCAATTTGATATACAAATTCAAGCTTTCACTATGTTAGGAATAGTATTGAGTGGTATAGGAACTATGGTGTGGTTTCATTATAATTCCACATTCTTATAATTGCTTAAACTATTCTATGAATGTTTCAATATTAGAAAGAAAGCTAACATTTTAAAATCAACATATACATATTGTCAAATTATAATTTCTTTCTTATTTTTCCTTTCATTGAAATTGTTTTCATAACATATTTTTTAAATCATACTTGTCAATATCATATTTTTTTTCAAATCTCTCTCTGATTTGAAATAATTTAACAGAAATCATGGGAACATTCATAAATATAAAGCTATGTAATTCTTCTTGTTATTGTTTCTAGCAAATTCAAAGTGCCATCACAGGTACACTAAGTCCCCAAGGGATTGTGGTACCTGCATCAGCACTACAGCAGGGAAATGTAACTATGGCAACGGTTGCAGGTAAGAAACACTAAACATTTAAACGTTGCATTTTATCTAAGTGTGTGGATATATGTGTTCTTCTGGTTTGTTTTTTTTAAATAGTTTTTATTAAATATAAATATTAAAAAAGACATACGTAACATATACACAACAAACATTTACACAACATATACACAAAAAAAGTGTAGTTTCTTCTTAAGCATTTTTTCAGAGTGACGTTCTACAATTCTACTTATAATATAATCCTTCACCTCTCTTTAGTCTAATAATATTTTTTTTATTACATATATATGTATCAATCGGTAATATATCCCCTATATTTTTTGTATATTTCTAATTTTTAACCAATTATACCAATTATTCCATATTTTATAATAATCTGATTCTTCTTTTTCTTGTAATTCTTTGGTTAGCCTATCCATTTCAGCGCATTCTAAAATTTTCCCTATTACTTCTGTTTCACTTGGTATTTTTTCTTGTTTCCAATTTCTTGCGTAGGTTATTCTTGCAGCAGTTAATATGTGGATTGTAAAATATTTGATATCCTTAGGGTATGATTTGTTGAATATTCCTAATAAAAATGTTTCTGGTTCTTTTTCAATCTGTGTTTTTGTTATCTGTTCCAACCATTTTTTAATGTTAGACCAAAATTTCTTTGCTGCCGGGCACGTCCACCATAAATGATAGAAAGTCCCTTGTGCCTTTTTGCACTTCCAACAAATTGGGCTATTTTTAGGTTGTATTTTTGCCAATCTGGTTGGAGACATATGCCACCGATAAAACATTTTCAGTTGATTTTCCTTGTACGCCGTTGCTTTCGTTAACTTTAGGTTTACCTGCCAGAACTTTTCCCATTTTTCCAAAGGTATTGTGTGTTTGATCTTTTGAGCCCACTTGATCATCGTTTCTTTGACTGTCTCTTCTTCCAATTTATAGCGTAGGAGAAATTTATAAATTCTACTAATTAATTTATTTTCTGAATCTAATATAATTTTATCTATTTCTTGTTTTTGATTGTAAATTTCATATGTTTTTATATGTTCTCTATATTTGGATTGTATTTGAGTGTAAGTCCACCAGTCTATTCCTCTGTGTAAATCTGTCTCCAATTGTTGTTTTGTCTTTAGTTTGCCTTGATAATCAATTATATCTTTATACCTAATTATTTTTGTCTTATCTGTTAAATTTGGGTGCCTAATTGATTCAGCCGGTGCTAGCCAATTTGGTATCTTCATATAATGTTGTTTTTTAATTTTAAGCCAGGTTTGTAATAGTGAGTTCCTTATTGTATGTGTTTTAAAATATGAATGTGTTTTGTATTTCTCATCCCACATAAAGGAGTGCCAGCCAGTTTGAAGTTCGTGTCCCTCAATTGTTAAAATTCTAGAGTCCTTTAATTCTATCCAATCTTTGACCCACGATAGTACTGCTGCTTGATAGTATATCTCCCAGTCAGGGAGTGCAGCTCCTCCTCTATCTTTTGTGTCCTGAAGCAGTTTTAATTTTATTCGTGGCCTTTTCCCTTGCCATATAAATTTAGATGTAATTTTATTCAGCTTTTCAAAAAACGATTGAAAATCTATTTTAATTGGGGTAACCTGGAACAAATATAAAAATTTAGGTAGTATAGTCATTTTGATGGCCGAAATTCTTCCTAGGAATGAAATGTGTAAATTTTCCCATTTTTCTAAGTCTTTCTTTGTTTGTTCTAGTAATTTATCATAATTGTTTTCTTTAATTGCTGATGTTCTTGTAGATAAGCAGATTCCTATATATTTTTTTTGTTGTTGTTGTTGTTTGAATTTGTATGTTATCTATCAAATCTTTTGTTTGAATTTCCGTAAGGTTTTTAACAATTAGCCTCGATTTACTTTTATTGATTTTTAGTCCGGCCACTTCTCCAAATTCTTCTATTTTTTGGAACAAATTAGGTATAGATTCCATAGGATTTTCTGTCAAAAATACTAAGTCATCAGCAAAGGCTTGAACTTTGTATTCTTCTCTATTAATCCTTAAACCTTCTATTCCTTGGTCTTCTCTAATTTTTTTCAACAGGATTTCCAATGATAGAATATATAATAAGGGAGAAAGTGGACAGCCTTGTCTAACTCCTTTTGTTATATTAAATTTGTCTGTTATGTCATCATTCATAATTATCCTTGCTGATTGCTTGGTATAGATTTCTGCTATAATTTTCCCAAATTTTTCTCCAATTTGCATATTTTGTAGTTGTTCAATCATAAATTTCCAATTTTGGTTATCGAAGGCCTTTTGGGCGTCAAGAAAAACCAACGCTGCCTGCTTCTCCGGGTGTGATTCATAATATTCTAAAGCATTAAGTATTAGTCTCATATTGTTCTTTATTTGGCGTCCCGGCAGAAATCCATTTTGGTCTGGGTGTATATATGTATTTAATACTAATTTAATCCTTTCTGCCAAGATTGCTGCAAATATTTTGTAATCGGCATTCAATAATGAAATAGGTCTATAGTTTTGTATTAACTGGAGATCTGTGTCTTCTTTTGGAATGATTGTTATTATGGCTTCCGTCCATGAATTTGGTATTTTGGCTTTCTCCATAGCTTCATTATATAATCGCAACATATTCTCTCCCAATACTTCTTGCATTGTTTTATATATTTCTACCGGTAATCCGTCGGGTCCCGGTGTTTTATTGTTTTTTTGCTTTTTCAGTACTTCATCTAATTCTAATTTAGTTATTGGCCTATTAAGAGTAATTCTTTGTTGTTCTGTGATTTTTGGCATTCCTGATTTTCCTATGTACTGTTTTATTTTATCTTCCTCTATTTTCCTCTGATTATATAGGTTCGCATAAAATTTCTTAATAATTTCTTTTTTGGCCTCTTTACTATGTTGAATTTCTCCTTTATCATCTTTCAATTGGTATATCATTCTTTTTTTCTGTTCTTTTTTCAATTTATAGGCTAGCCATCTGCCCGTTTTATTTGCGTGTTCGAAATAGTTTTGTTTCGCCATTTTTATTTTTTGGGCTAGTTCTATTTGGTTTATCAAATTCAGTTTATGCTTAATCATTTCCCATTCTTCTCTTATTGTTTTGTTCTGGGGCTTTTCCTGGAGTTTTCGTTCTATTTGTTTTAGGTCTTTCTCTAAATTATCTAATTGTTTTTTCTTCTCTTTATTCTTTTTCCTTGTATATGCTATTACTAGGCCCCTTATGTATGCTTTTAAAGTATCCCATGTGTTTTGTAAAGAGGTTTCCTCTATTTTATTTATCTGAAAGAATATTTTTACTTCCTTTTCTAACATCAAATTAAATTCTTTTTCTTTACATAATCTTTGGTTCATTGTCCATCTCTTACGTCTTCTTTCCCCTTTCCAGTTTATGAATAGTGGATTGTGGTCTGCCCATTGGGTTGTGCCTATCTCAATTTTTTCTACTTCTATTTTGATATTTGATATTCATCCATGCCATGTCCAGTCTTGACCAGGAGTTATGCGGATGGGAGTAAAAGGTGTATTGGGCCTCTTCTTCATGTGTTTCCCTCCATACGTCTGCCAAATTTAGTTCTTCAGCCATAGTAGAAAATTCTTTTGGAAGTATTTCTTTTTTCTTTTGTTTTTTCCCCCCAGTTTTGTAGTCTTTCTTTGCATTTACTATTGCATTATAATCCCCTATTACACAAATATTCTGATTTTTTAATAGTTTCTAAAGAGAAAAAATACTATAAAAGTTATTTTTAATGCATACTATCTATTTATCTTGAGATGAATGAAACAGCATTTTAAACAATAGTTTTACTCTTCAAAGAGCAATTTATCTAGTCTTACCCTTATTAGGAAATAATCAAAAGAAAATGAAGGCAAAACAAATATGTTTGAGTAATTAAAAATATTCACAATAACTAAATTGCCTAATAATATCAAATATAGTAAAAACATTCTTAGTCACATGCACAACAGAGGTTAAAGAAATAAAAATGCAGTTTTTGTTAGCACTATTAAAGCCCTGACTCTTTTGTTTATGCACTGACATTACATATATATGCAAAGGAGCAGGGCTTCAGTTGCACTATTGAGACTGCCATCTTGACTTTTTGGACCTTGGGGGCACTCTTAACTGAATTTCTGCTTCCATAAAGGTGAAGCAGTCTATGGAATCAACAAAAATATTCACTTTTGCATTTTAAAAATAGTTTTATGTTTTCACCACAGCTTCATACTATATTTAACAATAACTAAGCATCAATTAACCTTTTATCTCTTGTTTTCTTATTTTCTTGATTGCTGCACACTTTTAAGGTGGCACAGTATATCAGCCAGTAACAGTGGTCACACCTCAAGGACAAGTAGTAACACAAGCACTGTCACCTGGAACAATCAGGATCCAGAACTCACAGGTTTGTTCAACTCATTTCATAGAGTGGTTTAAAGTAGGAGAAGAAGCCAGGATTTTAATAAGATGTGGAACAGGTTGTTTATATAATGAATTTACATACTTGTAATAAGTCAAATGGGGGGGGGGGGAGTGAAAAAGCATCTTCCTATACCATCCATAAAATGAGTGGCAGGAACTGCATTTAATTTTCAGTATTCATAGTCAGAGAGGTCTCAGAGGGCACAAACAGAATTTTGAATACTAATACAACAGAGGGACAACATCTTTGCCCCTGACTGAGTATGTTGTTTCTCACATTACAGTGTCCCTGATTTTCTCTCATAAATATAAAAGGGATAAATACTCCTGAGAGTTACAGAGAATCCATATTCATCCATTTTAATATGCAGTTTGTGAATACTTTGCTTGAATGTTCCCATAAAATAAAATTCCAGTAAAATTCCCTGTGCATAGAAAACATCTAATGAGCATGGGGTTAGAACTCTTTCTTTCAATTTGATAGTTTTCCACATGTTCAGTTAAGAACTCAGCACTGACATAGTTTTTTGCATACAATCTGAAATAGTACATGTGTAGTGCTCCTTCTATTTTTAATACAAAAGCTGTGCTGTTTAATTATTCTGGCGACATATTAAGACTTTTTGATGATGTTTATGGTGTTTTAATAAAGTTCTGCTATTGTGTAGCTCCAGTTACAATTAAACCAAGATTTAAGCATCTTGCATCAAGATGATGGATCATCAAAGAATAAAAGAGGCGTTCTTCCAAAACATGCTACAAACGTGATGAGATCTTGGCTTTTCCAGCATATAGGGGTAAGAATTTATCTCAGTGATTAAAAACACTTTTAAAAAAAGTTTCTTAGTGATTATAATTTTAGCTCTTTTTTTAATTGGATATGTGCCATCAAATTGGACTGAGTCTTCATGACCATACATTTTCTCCAGGAGGAAGTGTCCCCAGCTTGCTCCTTCAGATCTTCCAATGGTGCACACATCACTGCTGTAATTACTCCATCTATCTTTTGTTAGGACTTCACATAGTAGTCAATAATATAAGCTTCATCATTTGTACTTTGAGTGAGAATTCTGTATTGATTTATTCAATGATCCGTTTCTTTGTTTTCTTGGCTATTTTCTCCTGCACCAATTTCATGAAGGATAATACTTTTACAGTCTATTTCTATGGTTCCTCTTGAAAAAAAGTTAAATTGATTTGTTAAAGATGAATCTGATTTTCAGTAAGTGCTCTCATATAAACTTGTGATTTTCTGTTGTTATTTCATTTGAATGAGGAATTTTTTTAAAAAATCATGTGCTCCTTCAATCAGTAGTCTTTTGAGAGCTATATTTAAATTTCTGTCAGTCTAAACACTTCCTCAGGGCTTGGGAGAAATTCATATAAAATGAAGTTTAGCTATATGCAGAAGCAAGATTGTTATGTGGTTTGCTTTACTAAATGTACTCCATAGTCAAAAGGGGGCCCATGTATTGTTAGTTTAGAATCACACATTTATCCTGTGATTTATATAGTCATAATCAGCTTATTCATTAACTGAAAGATCATATATATGTTGCCACAAGTTTTTTTTATTTTACATACATGCTCTGTCTATATAATTATAACATTTAATCCATGGGTACTGCATAGTGCTGTTGGTTTTGATTGAAGGAGACAGCATTGTACAACTTCTATTATATTCATAATCAAATGATATTTGTCATCAAATGTATTATGGAAACAGAATTCTACTATCTAGTAAGTTGATGTTGAATTTTTTTCATAATAGAAAATACAAATCAAAATAAAGTTAATGGGGAAGGAAAAGGGGGGGAAGGAAAAATATGGGAACAGTAGAAAAAAGGGTTAACTTCCAACTTTTTTCAGCATAGTAGAATAAAAATAATAAAGTATATCCTCAACTTTTTACTTTCACATACTTGGCATAGTAGCCATTTCTATAACAGTAACTTGGAAATGTTTGTTTGAACAGAATGGATTGGATATATCTGTTTTAGACAGACTGAGCAACATACACACATGCTACTGTAACAAATAATCATTCTATTGCACTATCAAGGCACATTTCTCGACATATATCATCTTCCCTTCTGATGTGCAATATATAAGGTCATCTAATACTAAACAGAGAAAGAAAATAAAATAAAATAAATAAATAAATAAATAATTTTATTTCTATACCGCCCTTCTCCCGAAGGACTCAGGGCGGTGTACAGCCTATTTAAAAACACAAAAACACGACAACAATTTAAAATTTAAAATCATTAAATAGTTAGGCTCCAATTAAAATCCCAGAAATTTAAAATACCCCAATTTAAAACGTTATGTTAATAGCCCTGCCTGGCGGAACAACAGGGTCTTCAGAGCGCAGCGAAACACCCGGAGGTCAGAAATCTTTCGTATTGCATCTGTATTATTGTTCTTTGTTGGAGGTTTGTTTTAAAAGTCCATACTTCCAGCTTGCCAGTCTTCAGTCAAGAAATGGGTAGCTGGATTGTTAAGTGCTCCATCTCAATGTGATGCTATAAAATGCCAAGCCTGACTGTAATAAAACCTACTTTGTCCATTATTTAATTAAGGAGAGGTGTTTATTCCTAAAACCGGGCTGCATAAAAGGGAGCAGGTCCCTCTCATGGAATTTTATGCAGATGAATTTTGTATTTTATATCAGCCCCAACCTGAGGTAGAGGACGTGATGGGATTTTTGTATACCAAAAGTCTTTAGCTGTTATGAGGGCACTGTTCCACAGGAGGAAAGATGTGAGGCCTTGCTCATGATACTGGGACCAAACAGGAAGCTGGGAGTACTCCTATTATCCTCACAGTTGCAGGGCAGCATCCCTCATTCAGCTACTTGACTTCACTACAGAGGAGTTTATGGATTCATGTAGACTTTTAATATTGAGTGATTTCATTTCCACTCCCTTGGGTGGATTGGGTGGTTCAGGAGTCCATGGCTGCCATAGTAACCATGGACTGATGCCAAGTCATCACTAGCCTAACTCATGTAGGGCCATATCTTGTTGGTATGGAACATTTGGGTCATGATCCAGTTGTGGGAGACTTTTCTGTCAGTCCATCTCATAAACTAATCACTTTCTTATGATAGTAGGATTAATCTTTATAGGGAGAGGAGATCTGTTAAGATGGTCTAGCACAGATATCTGATGGATCTAGCAAATTTCCAGATGGCACTTGGGGAGTTCCCCAGTGATCTGGAGGATGTTTCTATTCCATTTCAATGAAATTTTCAACAATTCCATTCAGTTCACTGTGTATCTCCTTGACTTTACTGAGCAGCTCTGTGAAATGATGCACATGAAGGAAATGCCTGTAGCAATACAAAAAAACCTCAAGGAGTGAATATGTCAGATTTGAGCTTACTCTGCATCAATAAAAGCAGCAAAGCATAATTACTCCCCTGCCCTTATTTTGTTCATGGAATGCTGGCCAGTTGCACTGTTTAGAGTGTTCTGATTGGCTGGAAAACCCAGTCAATGTGCATTAAGTTGCCATTGTCTGGCCAAGCATTTATAGTATATACAGTTGCTTGTATACACTCCAATTTGGAAACTAGATGGACAGAATCTCCTGAGATGGCAATGATGGTGCCTTGTAGCTTATCTGGGAAGATTTTGAACCTGTGGAGCCTAATAAAGTGAACAGGATCCTTTGCAATCTGAGCTCTGCCAATGTGTTTTGCACAGGGCTAATTAAAGTGGCAAAGGAGAGGACTGGGAGCTGAAGCTAGGAGCTGGATTGTAGTCAATACCTTTTTTGAGGACAAGGGAGGTGCCAGAGGACCTTGCAGAGGCATTGGATTACTCACTTATTAAAATCCAATGAAACAAAACTGAACAACTATCATCCTAGGAAGGTTTACTGAAAATAGGGACTGCGGTGGCAGAAGGCTCTTGAAGATACACATTATTTGGATCCTTGGCAATCTTGAGTTCCGACTTGGGTATGGACAAAAGTTTCATTAGTTGGTCTCATGGATGACCTTTGGTTGTCTTGTGAATGGAGGTGGCACAACTATTTTTGTCCTCCTAGATCTTTTAGCAGCTTTTGATACTGTGAAGCATGAATTTTTCTGGACTGCTTGCAAGGGTTTGAAGTTGTATGCTTGATAGAACTATCAATTTGGAGTGAAGTATAATCAATATGCTGATCATGAGAGAATTCTAATGGAATAAGAGAAACATTTGCTCTTTCTTTTGTGATTATCTGCACATAAACATAATTTGAATACTAATATCAAGCATTTTAGGAAGGAGATTTCCTATGAGCCTGTATTTCTAATTTTAGAAAAGTTTGGAAATATCAAGTATAATATAAGTTGGCTATTAATACCAGCAGGCTTTTAATTGCTGGGAAATGGAAATCTGAGTACTGTCATCACATTAGTATTACTTTAATAAATCACACCCTGTAATTAATGGCATTAAAAGAACTTAGCAGGTACAAATGAATTAAATGGCAACAGTTGAAATCACTGCAGGATGCATTATAGAAAGATTAATTTAGCTGGTCATATTTTATTTTATTAATGGACTGTTAAATTCTACTAAAATGCTTGTGGAGTATTAAATCTCTTTTCAATTTTAATTTTCTTTTATGCTGTACGGAAAAATTGAAACTTATTACCACTGATAGTCTTGTGGGAAATATCTCTGGAAAAAAAAAGAGTAAAAAAGCTGATCCCCACCACAAAGATTCCTTTACTGGACTTGCAGCAGCAGCCCCTCCCCTCTAGCTGAATGTCTAGCATGTTTGTTTTAAATAATGTGTATGGTATTCTTAGCTGTAATTGCTATATTGTTTATAAACTTCTTTGGACAGATGGTTATACAAATGGGACATGAATAGTTGTAATAAAAACTAAGAAATTGTAATTTATTTAAAAATAAATTTAATTCAAAAAGAATAATGAAAATATTTCTTTCTGTAGCATCCATATCCAACAGAAGATGAGAAAAAACAGATAGCAGCACAAACAAATCTTACCTTACTCCAGGTTAACAACTGGTAGGTTGAACAATTATTTTATAGTTCTATCTAATCTTCCTTCTGGGAAACCCAAAGTAATGTGCATTGTAGATCTCATCATATTTTACCCACTGGAACTCTCTGAAGTAGGTTGAGCTAACAAAATCAAATGGAATCAAATGGAAACTTGAATTTTAACCCGGGTCTCAATTCACCACCATAATTTCTATAAAGGTAAAGGTTTCCCCTATCCAGTCATATCTGGCTCTAGGGGGCAGTGCTGATCTTCATTTCTTAGCCAAGGGAGCCAGCATTGTCTGAAGATGCTTCCATGGTCATTGTTCTGACCTAGGCTTCCTGAGATAGTAAAAAGCACACAATTAGTCCCAAAAACCCTCTTTTTATATCAATGCCTGTGAATTCTGTTCATTCACAGTCCGTGATGAGTCACAAATAGTTTGTAAAGAGGCTGACAGAAGTCTGCCACAGTCCTTCGGGATAAGGCTGATAAGCACCCACCTTTATCTCCCTTGACATGCTGCCAAAGACCTAATTGGCAATTAACTTTGCAAGGCTGCACGGAGCACAATGTCAAAACGAAGTTTCAGAATTTAAACTAACCAGCATGAACAATGTTGCTTCCTGCAAAGGCTCACATGCCTTTGCTCCTCCTTTATGTCTTATGGGAGGGGCGAATCATCTCCAAGCCTTACTCCTGAGTCACTCCTTTTGTCTTAACTTACAATTGCTTAATGCATTGTAAGCCGCCCTGAGTCTCCGGAGAAGGGTGGCCTATAAATCAAATTTAAAAAAAACAACCCTGTTTTTGCCTTCTGGCAGCACTGTGCATGTACGCACTGGGAACAGGCTTCCCCTGTTCCTCTGCCTCGCTGACATCAGACTCTGGAGGCTCTGGAGTCAGCACATAATTCCCAGATGGCCCTGGCCCCATCTCTGCCTCCAACACAGAGCCCTCGTCCGAGCCTTCCCCAGACTCCAGGACTGGCCCATGTTCCTCCCCAGCCTCCTCACTGTCTGACTCTAGTGCCAGCTCTGCAGGCTGCTGACGGACCACAATAGTCATGTGGTCAGCATGACTATATGCCAAAGCGCACAGAATGCTGTTACCTTCCCACTGAAGTGGTACCTATTTATCTACTTGCATTTGCATGCTTTTGAACTGCTAGGTGGGCAGGAGCTGAGGCAAGAATGGGAGCTAATCCCATCACATGTTGCTTAGATCTCGAACCATCAACCTTCTGGTTGACAAGCCCAGCATCTTAATGGCAAGACCACTGTGTACCTTTATAATTTCTATAGTGCATGTTTATTTTCTGCAGATTCATGGCCTGTGGAAAAAAGCAGTGTATTTTGCTACAGAGAAATTTGGATAGTGTTGGCAATATGTAATTGACCTCATGAAGCCAAATGGGAAATATTAGGCTGGGAATTTGAAAAGGCATTTTGGGAGAAGAAATTGGCAAATTACCTCAGCTCAGTCCCAGCCTGAAGGCCCTTTAGAACACATGCTCAGGTCTGGTTAGCCTCAGTGTGCATTGTATACAAGAATGCCTTAAGTGGATGATTGTGGCCTTCCTCAGATTGTTTGCTGAAACCCAGTTTGAAAGATCTTTGGTACATGGTGAGAGGATTCCCAAGCAACTGGGAGGATTTCAACACATTGCCCAAATTTACCAATCTGGATGCCCTTCTCTTAGAGGAGAAGGCTCCTCTAAGGATGGGGAGGAATCTGCAAAGCATAGCCACAGAAAGGAACATGATAGTTTGCTCATAGATTTCTAAAGTTACTTTGGAAGTTTACATTTTACCCTTGTTTAGGTTTATCAATGCTAGAAGGAGAATTCTCCAGCCAATGTTGGATTCCAGCTGTTCTGAAACACCAAAAACAAAGAAGAAAACAGCCCAAAACCGACCAGTTCAGAGGTTCTGGCCAGACTCCATTGCATCAGGAGTAGCTCAGCATCAATCAAATGAACTTACTATGTCAGATGGTAAGCAGATGCTTTACTTCATTAGCTTTAAAAAACTACTTTATTTTTTACTTTGCTGATTGATGAGCTAGTTTGTAAATTTATTCAATTTCTCTGTATAAAGCCTACTGGAAATAATGAATTGGTATAGGTTTAATTTACTAAATATGTTTTCATGAACAGCATAGAAAATAGGAATGATTACTATCTGCCAAAGTGGAACTTTTTTCCCTTACATGATCAGACAAGTACATTTATAGCAGTGGATTGAAGCTAAATATCCCTGTTCCGGTATTTAATGGGGCTTCTCCACAAGTAAAAACTCCATATGTCACAGATTTCGTATATTAGCTTAACTATTGATGTCCATTTAATATGTAGTATTTGCTCCAGATGTTGCAAATCTTGTAATGCTAGTTTAAGATGGTAGTGCCTTAACATTTCCAAAATTCAGAATTCTTATTTAGCCCAAAGTAGACTAAAAGTAAAATGAACACAGTCATTAAAGTGCTTACTGAGGAAAATAATGGACTAGATGGTGCATGCAATTGTAATTCATTTCCAATTGTTAAATTTACAGCAGGCAAACTAAAACTTTTTTTTCCAGTTTATTTTAGAAAATAAGATGAAATGCATATTTCAGAAATGAGTGGGTTTTTAAAAATATCTAATTGTTTTTTTCCAATTGGACCTGTACTTTTATCCATTTTTAGGAGCTGTTGTAACAATTACAGCTCCCGTCAACATGAATGTAGACAGTCTCCAATCGCTTTCATCTGATGGTACTACTTTGGCTGTTCAGCAAGTCATGATGGCAGGGCAAAGTGAAGACGAATCTGTAGACAGCACTGAAGATGATGGAACAGACCTCTCAACTACAAATATCAGTGGGTTGGTCTTGGATAACAGTGATTCTCTGCAATAGGAAGCAAGAGGACCTGACCTAAAATATTAGGAAAGACAATGGACTGACTGACTTTTTATAGTTTGCACAGCAAACATTTTACACAAGTTTTATTTCTAATATGTTTTATATGTAGATATAGAAGAGTGCACTTTTTTGTATTTCATAGTAAGCTTAAAGAGTGTCTTTGCAGGTGCAGCAACTTCTTTCAAATGTGTTGTTTTTTGGTTTTAATTTTGAAAATCTAGTAAGTTAAAAAATTATCATCCCATTTGTTTTTCTAAAGTTATTATTTCATTCACACACACAAAAAGCTGAGTCAAGCTGAAAAAATGTGTATAATGGGGTTGCAGACATGGGGTAAAATGGTGGCTGCCTGGAATGTGAGTTAGTTTTACATTAGCATGGATTTAAACTTACCCAAACCAGACAATTACTATGTTACTCAGTTCCTTGCTGTTCTATAGCAATAGATCTGCAATTTTCAAACATATAAAATTACACTGCTATGGAGGAACTAAAAATACTTTTTATCTCGTTGAAAATAACCAGTTTCAATTCTGTCATTTTAACAAAGGTGGTTAATGTAAATGTAAAGCATGTCAAACTAATGTATGGGATTTGTTTATGAAGTTAGCCATGTAGATTTGAAAGATGCTTCTGCACCTTAAAAAAGGAAACTAAACTGCCTGTTTAAAGTGAGCAACATAATACAAAAAAGAAAGAAAGGAAGGAAATGAAAATGTGTGATTCCTAAAGAATGCATGGCATTTACTATAAACTTAATTTCTTCAGGAGGAGTTAGGTGGACAACTCTAGATCTCATTGTACCTTTAAATTTTGCTATTGATATGGCTACCACAGCTTTTTTCTCAACAAATTTTCTCCCTTTTTTATCCATTTGCCCAGTGGCTCCTTTCCTTTCCTTTCCTTTCCTTTCCTTTCCTTTCCTTTCCTTTCCTTTTTTTCAGCAAATAAGGTGAGGTTAGAATGGCAATAAAAGAAATAGAGGAGCCAGAAGAAGCCATGATTGTAGCTCTGTTCTGGTGATACATTCCAGTGTAGAATTCACCATATAAGGAACAGCAAACCACCCCTATGCTGTCTTAGTAGTAGTGGTGACATCGCTGATCTCCACAAGTGTGGCATGATTGTCTACAATATGAAGTTTGACAATGCATGTTTTTTTTAAAAAAAAAAACAAAAACCTCTTCACATGTACGAGAAGGCTTCCAACTGCTAACAGCCATGCTATATTCAAAGATAACGGGCTGTTAGTGGACATTAAAGCATAATCTAAAGAGTGGAAGGATTATTAACCATTCTTCATGTGTTGATTCTAAATGGGAGTCTCCTTCCTAAACTAGTATTCTCTTATCTCAGTTCAAAGATACATTTAAAGGTACAAAAGATGCTATAAGGTGTACCCCTAACTAGTGTGTCTGTCCATTGTTTGCTATAAAACACTTATTTTTACCTTTATCAGGATTCTTGGATGAAAAATATTTTTATAAATTCTCTAAGAATTGGACGGATGACTGTATTAAGCATGAGGAAAAAGTGTTTAGTACTACTATTTGAAAAGTTATGAAAACTGTCCAAATTGAATAAACATGCCTATGTGACATCTTATGGTTCTCTGCTCTCCCATAATGGTACAATTAATAGTAATATATTATTCCTTATTGGGAAGCTGGATACTAGTCAGCACTCAATTATTTCACACAAACTACCATTCAAATTATATTTCTGTCCATATTGAATGCTGTCTCACAGGAGTAGCTTTTCTCAGACTGATGTTTTCTGGAAGTTTTGGGTCTTTTAACTCCCAGAAATACAAGCCAACAGCATCTAAACTATGATGGCTGAAAATTCTATAAATTGCAATCCCAGCAAAGAGCACCAGTGTGGGGAAGACTGCTGAACAGTGATATTCAGGTGAATAAAATGCACAGTCTTTATTATAGTTTTAAAAACTCTCAACAGTACACATACTTCACATCAGTTGACTGCAGATATTTTCTTTTGGGTTATCTAATTTTTCCCCACTTTACTGCATCCCAAATGTTATACATTCAGCAGCTTTGATACAAATAAGGTAAGAAAGTCTCCTTCGAATTGAGCTTGATTCTGATGATTTCATGAACATGTCCATCAGCTTTCATGCATAATATCACAGTGGTTCAATTACAGGTAGTCCTCGAGTTACGAATGGAATGGAGCCTTCCCATTCCATTCGTAATCCGAGGATTCGTGGGAGTGAATCTTGTACCTTGAACGGGATCACTCCCTCCTTTCGCCCATGCATTCACTAATCGAATATGAGGCTCGTTAAGTGCACATGAGGTATTTCAGGGTAGGGAAGGCCATGGGGGACCTAGTGATGGAACAGGCCACCTGCCTAAGACCACCCAAGGCCTCCTCGACCCACTGAAATAACTCATGCTCCCCACAATTGCTTTCCCCCCCCCTCAACCTGCTGCACCAGGTTACTTATCATGTGAAGATCTAGCAAACTCTGTCCTCTCCAGCCTCTCAGCTGTGTGTGCTCTCTGCAGCTCTGTTTTGGTGTGCACAGACCTTGCCTGGTACTTTGCCGGCCAAATTGGAGCTCTGTTTAGGCCTGCGCAGACCTCATCTGGCACTTTGCTGTCCAAAATGGAGGTTCAGAGGGGTGGATCCGCCCCTCTGAAGCTCCATTTTGGCCTGCAACGTGCCAGGAGAGGCCTTCGGAGGCCAAAATGGAGCGTTGGAAGGAAGAGGCCCCTCCAAACCTCCATTTTGGATGGCAAAGTGCAGGACGAATGTTTCAGAGGCTCTCTGGTTGTTCATAAGGGTGAACAACTGTTATAGTCCTACAAGATTCATAGTTTTGAGACTTGTTCATAAATGCTAGGGGGCGCTTATCACGTAACTTCGAACATTCACTAAGGAAAAGCTTGTAACCTGGGGATTATCTGTACCTTCTTCCAGCATGCTTTTTTCCTTCCCTAGTATAACTGGTATTTCCTGCCAGTTTTTCATCCAAATACAACCAGGTCCATTTTTTTAGCTTTTTTAGATCAGCTAAGATAAGGGGCAAATAAAAACAGATTTCTCAGGACAGAGACATTTCAATAATATTTTAATGTAAATTGAATATTATTCCCACATTCACAAATAGTGCTGATAAATCTTGGCCAATTTTCCTTATTCTTTATATTTTCAAAATTGCTATGTTCTTGTCATAAGTATGAATGTTGATATTTTTCCAATCTTAACTTTAAGAGACCATACATACAGGCTGTACAGTATAACAGATCATGTTGTTGAATGATTTATGAAACATTTTATATACATCAGCCTTCATTATGTGCCTTCCATAGTTAGTGATTTTGGTGTTCACCTATGCTGGCTAGAGTTTTGGGGGATTGCAGTCTCAGCAGAAATGAAAATTAACAGGTAGGGAAAGGATAGGCCATCTCAACAAATTCAAGATTTATTTCCAACAGATTTTAATAAGTTAGTTTTTATGTAAGTCCTGATTCAGCAAAGCATTTAAAGCTGGTTTTGATTTATTCTATTTTATTAAGTAGTTAGATGATGACCATTTCTGGTCTATTCTAACAATTCTAATTATTCTCCTAAATCTAAGTTTAAATGGATTTAAATAAATAAAAGGACTGTTACTCAAATAAGTCTGTATGGCAGAGATTCCCTGAGGTCACACTTAAGAGTTCAGTCAGTCTCATTCATTGAATGAATGAGAAATTATGCACTGTCCTAGAGAAACTTTGTAGGGACCCTGATATGCTTTGGCAGTCACATGACACATATACAGTAAAAGGTTTTAGGTATCAATACTATGGCTATGGTTAATATTTGTATGCCCAGAGTGAAAGAACATGTTTTTTTCTCCCAAAATACTGGACTGGCAATAATAGAAGTAAATTAGTATGCTAGATTAGATTATCATCATAATCTCACAGGAAAAGGGAAAACACTATTTTCATTTTCCCAGATTCAAAATACAATAAACACAAATATGGGTAGCCAGTTGAAAGATCACAAATTTATATCAAGATATTCTGGCATATTTCACTGTCTTGAGACCTTAGAAACTAGAATTCATATTGCATTGGTTCTTTTGGTTGTGTAATAGTTAAATAAACCCATTATTTCTCTTTTTTGAGTTTTATCAAAATTTGAGTTAAAATCTGAAAAGATGTTTCTAGAGCATTTATCTTAAAAACATTAATATAATGTAGATTTATAGAAATTTTAAAGCTGAATATATTTTAAACAAACACCTAAAGTAATTGAGAACTACCCCACCTGAATCTAACTGCCACCAAAAGACACTCCCCATGTTTTAATTTTATTTTGCATTTGGGATTGCAAGGATTAAAATCATAACAATTAACATTTTCAGAGAAGCAGCTCACTTTACAATTCTGTTGGCAGTTACATAAAGAAATATAAATCAACCAGACATATTTGAATATCAGATCAAGACACAGGTTCTCTCTTGCTATGCAAGAAGATCCTTGCAAAATGAAACCAATCAGCTCTTCATTTTGATTCATTTGAAATTCATGTTTAATGCTAAAATTAAGCTGGTTCTTAAAGAACCACATGTAACAAATTTCATATAGTAGCTTACAATGAATCTCAATCCTACAAAAGATACAGAAATACAGATTTTGTAGTGCATGTGTTTGCTGGTATTCTGTGGATTCTGTAAAAACCAATTAAAAAAATAAAAAACAATGATTCCCCCCCCCCCCAAAAAAATATTTTGAGGACTATATGACTGGGTATAATTTTTGTTGATCTGAGTCCTGATGGCGCACCAGTGTGTAAAATGGGAAAAGACAACAGAGATAGCTTGTGGGATGCTGCTATAAACTATGTTAAGTGGCCCATAAAGACCTCTTTGAAAAAGACAGAGATAATCATCAGAATAATGTGATGTCCAAATGATTTAATGAGGGATTCTCCAAGAAATTCAAGAAATGGAACACTATTAGGGATGAATTTCAAGGCAAAGTGCACCAATTGGTCATAGTGTCTTCAATGGCATATCTCATGATTCAGACATGTTAAGCAACTGTTTTTAAATAATACATGAATACTGATTAGTTTATTATTATTTTTCTTGGAATACTTTAAGGAAATTGCACTGATTAAGTTCTACTTTTACAGGCTTTTAATCTTTTAAAATAAGAAAAGCCCTTACTGCTAATTCTATCCAGGGCACACATCCAACTTCTTGGTTGAGGTCCCTATTTTGTTGACAACATCTAGTGTAAACACGGAGCATTAAAAATATTTATGCCAATAGCATAAATCAAATGCTGGGATACATTTTTGAGTGTTGGCATGACAGATGTCAAGAATAGGACAATCCATCAATCCAGAATGCAGTGATGGGAGCAGCATGGCACTCCCATGTAACACCGCTCCTGCGCGAGCTGCACTGGCTCCCAGTGGTCTTCCAGGTGCGCTTCAAGGTGCTGGTTATCACCTTTAAAGCATTCCATGGCATCGGGCCTAGCTATCTTCGAGACCGCCTGCTGCTACCGACGACCTCCCATCGTCCCGTGCGCTCCCACAGAGAGGGCCTCCTCAGGGTGCCATCAGCCAATCAATGTAGTCTGGTGACCCCCAGGGGGAGGGCCTTCTCTGTGGGGGCACCTACCCACTGGAATCAGTTGCCCCCGGAGATAAGGAGAATCCAAGACCTTAGTGCCTTCCGCCGTGCCCTTAAAACTCACTTTTTCCAGCAAGCTGGGCTGGTTTAAGAAGAAATTTTAAATGTTTTAATTGGTTTGTATTTTTAATTTTGGGCCAAATTTATATATTTTTTAATTGTTTTTAATATTTGTATTTTATGTTTTTTAATTCTGGCTGTACACCACCCTGAGTCCTCAGGGAGAAGGGCGGTATATAAATTTAAAATAAAAAAAAAATGATAGGGATATAAAATTGTGAAACTTCTTCGAAAATTCCTTTTAAAGCCCATCAGAAACATTTCATTACTCTGCACTTTTAATATAGTATCTATTTTAAACAACAAGACTTATGATGTATATGTTCCTTCCATAATTCCCATGAGGATAAATTAATGGAAGCAATATCAGCCCCTTGGTTTTTATTAATGGGAACCAGTGGTGAAATGCAGCTGATTCTATCCAGCTCGGGCGAACCGGTAGTGCCGGCAGCGGGAGGCTCTGCCCACCTGCCCGGACGTCATCACATCCCATTTTTGGCACTGTGCATGCGCAAAAGGTCCTGCGCATGCACAGAGGTGTCATGTGCGAGCAAAGCGCACATGCATGTGTGAGCAAAGCATGTGCATGCTCCCATTTGCGAACCAGTAATGAAGATAAGTGGATTTCACCCCTGATGGGAACCAAGATGCTGTTTTAGGCAGATATACAAACAAAACTGTTTCTGAAAGTCTTGTCTGTTTCAAAAAAAGTTTTCTATGAAACGTGAGAAGCTACTATTATGAATACTTAGTAGAACTGCATAGTTATTTCTGAAAGGCACAGATTTGCTTCCTGGAATCCAGCATTAAGGTACCCAGCCAAGAAAACTGCTCAGGAAACTTCTCTCTTCTCTATGCTCCCCAAATCATTAA